AACTTGGCGTCTCAGTTGTCGGGATTAGAATGCAATATCAACGAAATTGAAACACAAATTGCGCTTTTTAATACAGACTTGCAAGTGGCGCGAATGCAAGCTCAAGAGTGCAAAAGAAAACTAGAACAACTAATAATTTAGCATTTAACGAAATTGTAAAATAGTAATAATGTATATAATAAATAAATTATACAATTACAAACTTCTGTGTAATTATTATGCGGTGTAGTGGTGGTGGTAAAAAAGAAAATAGCGTCTAAATATATACATGTTTATTCTTGTTGCAATACAATGGAATACAATCAATACATAAAAGCCTTATCTACAGTTATATATTTTATAATAAAACCACAGTATTAATAGTTCAATGTGCTATCAGAAAAGCGTAACTTTTTTCCATATTTCCTCTCATCGTGAAGCATTAAATTACATACATCTTCAGTTTCTACAGTGAACAAAACTTCTTCAAAGCAGCTTTGACACCAAAATTGTTTATCGTGATATATATCATTCAAATTATTTATATCCAGCTGTAAATGATAGTGATCCAATAAAAGTCTAAAATTTTTCTTTTTAAATTTTTTAACTACTTGAAATATAATGTGACAAGATTTACAAACTAAAATTTCCGAATATTTTATCCTGTAATAACTGACCCATAAACAGTAAGCGGATTCTCCGTCAAAATCAATGGTTGGAGTTGCCAAAATGCTATTTCTGTAAGACGATCCGAATCTCTTATTCCACAGAATGAATTCTAAATTTAATAAAGAATTGCCATCAGACTGGAGCGCTAGTTGTTTAAGGTACCTCCATCTATATTTCGAATAATATTTAAATATTAGTATCGTTAGTTTCCAAGGCAAAGGTGACTCAAGCAAAAAATCAGCACTACACCTAATATTTTCGCAAATTGTTATAATACAAAGGCTTTCTAATGTAAGTTGTTTGACCATAATCTGTAACAAAAATATATTAAAAAATAATTACGGCACTTTATAATGTCCCCACGGAAGCGTTTCATATGAATTCGGCAAAAGACTAAAGGACTCAAGGCAACTTTTGTTTGTTCGATGCTAAATACATTGTGAGTATATGAACGAATGGTTCGTTGAGTGGCGTACTTTTCCCTAAAATTTGTTAAGCATTCTACGTAGTCATCAAATGAAATTTTATTTTTTACAATATTGTACTGAATACCCTTTGACTTTTTAACTACCGAACCCATTAAAATTTTGAAAGTATACATTTTCGACCTTAACCCCGCATAATGACTAATGATGGTGCCATTAGTCTCATCCTTCATCAACCCCAAAACCTTTTTGTTGATTTGCGGTATATTATAGGGATTGTCATTAGGATAATCAGACGTGTCAAATTTTGTTAAATCGGCCTTAATAACGCTTTCATATGCGTCATAACATTTGATATTATAAATGAAACTGTCCGTATCCATGTATTGAATTTTACATTTTTCGGGACCCAAATTTGGAAGCATGTAATTATAATGAAACTCGTACATGGTCGTTTTCGACAAATCCAATATGGACATTCCAATATAAAGTGGCTTATTAAAGCAAAGTTCCGATTTTTTTAATTCTATAAGCAACAAATTGTTATCAAGTATGGTTCCACTGTGAAATCTAGGACTAGAAATTAAATTTTTCGCACCGTAGCGACAAATTTAACAATACGATGCTTGCGAATGTTTTCCATTGTTTTACCGTAAGCGGCATTATTAAACAATTTGTATAAATTTATACCAAATTTTGTCTTTGCTTGGGTTCTTAATTTATTATTATGATCGATATAACATTTCAACCAACGAGATTGGTTAAATTTTAATATTTTGTGAATTTTCTTTAGTACGAGACCGTTTTTGAGAGCCTGTTTTAAATTGCGATAGTGTATGACGTATTTTTCTTTATTATACAAAGTAGTCATTAGTTTTGGTAACTTTGAATTGGGGGGCACTCGATGTTCGCACAAAATGGAAAATCTCTATGTGTGTCATGTAATTTCTGCGGGTATTCCAGGTCTACCTCTAGGATATATCCTTGGGAAGATTCATCTGGAATGTTCATGACATTAAATGAATCAATCTCTTGATGAGACATCCAGTCGAATCCTCCGTAAGGAAGAGGCTCGCACATGGCCTTGCCATAGAGGTTATTGACGTCAAAGTACATGATATAGGAATCATCCCTGGATGAATCGTAGTTGGGCATATATTTATTGTTGGCCTCCGCATATCTACCAACACACACCGAAATTCCACCTCGTATAGCCCGCTCGATAAACATAATTTGGTCAATGTCGCGCAAAAGTTCTAAACGACATTTTGTGAATCTAAGCATGCAATCCCATGTATACCCGGGCATACTGAAATACCACGCCGGATCCAAAACGTGTGTTGCCATACAAGTTTTTCGAAAATTTTCGAATATATCTGCCAGAAGAATAACGTCGGTTTTTAAATACAAATCTGAATACTCGCCTAAATTTTTTATTTCAAACGACTGCCAAACACTTTGTGCGTGGGAATATTTTTCTTCACTAATATTGCTTTCACTTAATTTATTATAGAATTCTTCAATCGGGGGTAAAGTTGTTTCATTTAATTTGTCTATATGGTCGATGTAATCGTAACAAAAAATACCTTTTTGCGACAGTAAATTTAATTTTGATTCGTCGAGATCGGAAAATTCTTTTCTTAAAATATATAGTTCATTTTTATCCATACTGGAAACTAAATTATCCAGAGATGCTCCCAAAAATCTAAACGAATCTGTAAATCGAAATTTTATGTTATAATCAGGTTCGAAATATGTAAAAGAGATGTATTTTTCCTTATTAACCGGAACTATGGATACATAGCTTTTTTTTGCTAAAACCGGAAGCAGGAAGTGGCTATCGTATCCAGAAAGGTTCTGGAATACTACGGGCACTACAAATATTTTTTTAAAATTTAAATTACAAGCCTGATGGGCAAAACCTCTAAATTTACCAGTAAAATGATCATGGTCACGATCAATAACATCTTCTTTTAAAAAAGGTTTTTCACAAATATGACAATGACTCGACCTTTGATCTAGACTAATTTCACTATCCATTGGTATAATATCCTTAAATTTTGAACGAGCAAATTTTGATAAATTAGATATTTCCTCCACGAACCAATCAATACAATCTAGACCACGATAACTTTTGAAAAATGATATTGAATCATCATAAGAACATTTAAAGTAATATGCAGCACTGTAAGCTTCGTGCTTTTGGTATTTCGAGGTTTTATCTGAAATTTTCAAATTTACTTTTCTCAATTGACTCTCAAAATCGGCGTAAATTACAAACGGAGTCCTTTGTTTATATATATGGTTTCGAAATTCAACGTAATCATATTTGGGAAAAGACACTTTATACTCATTGAAACTGGAACATATTGTTTCGTGGTCATGTAGACGAGTTTCGTTATTGAAATAATTCAAACACCTATCGCAAATGTATTTCTTGTGATTATATTAACTGAGCTGTGAGGAAACTAATCGAGACAAATTTTTAATGTAACAATAGTGATATTTTATTTCTTTATAATCATTATCTTGCGGATCAGGATCAAAATCATTAACTTTTGGATAATATTTATTTTGTATTAACAACAAATTTGAATGTTTTTCGCGTTTTTCTTTTGTTAATCGTGCAGGTAACACGGAATAAAAACTAGTTTTTTCATTTTTATGAAACCCTAAGATATTAACATTGATGGAAATATCATTGTCTTTTTCAAATTTGCTTATTTTATTCATTTCCATAGGTGTTTGTAAATTTTCAGTTTTCAAAACACTTTTGTAGTATGGATATGAAGAGGGTAAATACTGACGAAAACGTGCTGGAAAGAGTCCGCATACAACTGACCAATAAAAACACGCTTGATCGTCATTTCTAATGTTAATACAAGCCCTTTTATTCGCAATTTCTTTAGGCCACTCAACGAAGGATGACCCGTTACCCATTTCAAATTTATTAATGTTAATCTCTAAATAAATAATATTATTTAAAGCCCACCCGGAATCACGTTCCTGAAACTCTGACATTTGATTTAAAATTTTATCTTGCACATTTTCAACAAACCAATCATTCAATTCTGTTCCTAAATCAACTACAGCATTTCCGGTACTCAGATATTTAACATCAACTTCGCCTTGGACATCATTTTTTGCCTTAATAAATTCACCGCAAAATGTGGTATTTAATTTCAGCAATAAAAATTTCTTTAAAATTTGACTAATTTTTTGTTGAAATATTGGACGACAATAGTTTAAAAATTGAATTAAATCTTTATGAAGTAAATTAATTATGACACCGGTCTGAACTCTTCCCTGGAAACACGACGCTACCGATTCCCATACAACCATTTCATTTGTGTTTGTCTCGCGGCTACTACTTTGTAATCCCAATCCAAAATGCTTATGTTGATAATTAAGAATAATTTTTCTAATAGCTTTCAGATGTTGAATTGTAGTTTGTAATTTTCTTTTTAACCCAATAGATAAATCCTTTTCGTTAGAAACGATTTGGTTGCAAGATTCAATATTTTTATTTAGTCTCCTAAGCCACACATCACTATCTCTAAGAGTGAACTTGTCGGAAATATGCTTTTTTAATTTTTGTAAGGTTAAAATTAAGATTTGCGCTCTATGAATGATCTGCTTTACGCGCATCGTGGTTTATTAAATATATAACAGTAAATAAGACTTACCCTGTATAATATGTTGATTAATTTTGAATTATTTTGAATTTCTTTAAAGAGTTGGGCTTTCCAATATCTTTGGATCCCTCGTAGACCAGTTTGTACTGCCCCGACGCAAAGTGTTCTAGTATCGGACGGAAAGCTTCTGTCACGCGAGTAGGAAGAAATACTACGGAATTTTCTAATTGCAGCAACACGGAATTGCCAAATTTTGTATTAACAATTTTGGCTCTAGTAATTTTAAACGGCACGCCTATCGGCAATTCATGCAGTTTGACAATCGGCTGCTCAAAATCACCTTCTGCAAGACAGGTTTGATTCAGTTGACTTAAGTCCACCTATAAATTATTATTAATTATTTTATCTCAAAATAAAAAAAATAAAAAAAACTTACGCTTAAGATTGCTGCTATTCTATTTGCGGTTACGGGTTGAGAGTACTAAGATGATCTTTAAGACCTTTATAAAATAATAACAAATGTTAAAGAATTAAAATAAAACAATAAAAAAGGTACTTACTGCTTTTTTGTACGAACACCAAACCACTAAGTTAGCTTCCACGTTGCACGAATAATACCAAAAACAACTACTGACAAAACAGAGAAAAATGAGATGTATTTATACGGTGCGAGAATATTTTCTAAAAGTTAACAAACGAAGACACCTCCACATGCGTTGCAACAAATTTTTCCCATTACGTTAATCCCACGGAGCAAATATAAACGGGCAATTAATTATTATTCTCAACAAGCAAAACAACTTGACATTTAGACTCGGCGCGTTTTGAAATTCCACATCCCATACGGAGATTGTAAAAAATGAAAGCAAGTTGGCCTTGATCTTTTGCGGCAACATACCTTCGTCCAACGTCCGAAGCGGTTGCGTTCCCGTATGAAAGCGTGATGACCCTGAGACTCCTACCTGCACGGTTGTCTGGCGACAACATCGCGTCTATTCAAATCGGCATTGGTGCTTGTGGGTAGAAGACCTTTCGACTTTTAATTCAACCATGGAAGTGAGTGCATGTGTATAAATACGTTGCATGTGTATTATAGACTATATTCAGTGCAATGAATACACAAGTGCGATGTCCATTTCCCTACGACCCTACAACAGGTAAGTTTTATATTTTAATTACCTTTATACAGTGCGCGTCTTTTCTTGTGGGTTTCAGTTTGGGTTATCACTTTTTTGTTTAGTTTCTACCTGTTTTTAAAATATGATACTCATCTTTTTTACGTTGCATAATAACCGATTTAAATTGAGTGTTTTTAATATCTTTTAAATGACAGTGAATGGAAAAGGGAATTTTGGCTTTTAAAAAATAAACAATTTTTAAATTTGTTTCAAAAATGTGCGTTTTATGGGGAAAACACGAAATATGTTTTATTTTTTGTACTAAAAAATTGCAGTTTGCCTTTTTGACAATAATAATCGAATTAAATTGAGCGTTTTTAATATCTTTTAAATGACAGTGAATAGGGAATTTTGGCTTTTAAAAAATAAACAATTTTTAAAATTATTTGATGACCCCCCACTTACTGAAAGTTTTGTTTCAAAAATGTGCGTTTTATGGGGAAAACGCGAAATATATACATATTTTTGTTTATTTTTTGTACTAAAAAATTGCAGTTTGCCCTTTTGACAATAATGCACTTACATTTAAATGACAGTGAATTGAAACGTGAATTTTGGTATGCGCGTATAACTTAAAAAACAATTTTTAAAATAATTTGATAACCCCCCGTTTTGGAAGTTTTGTTTAAAAAAAATGTGTGTTTTATAGGAAACGCTACATATCATACTTTGTTTTGTTCTAGAAAAAATCGCGGTTTGTCCGTATGACAAGTCGCATATTATGTTGGCGCGTCGCTTAGGGCGTCACATATTCAAATCACAGAAAGAGTACCGGGGGTTAGAATTCCCGGTACAACATGAAACGACAAGGGAACCTCACCAGCAGCAGGAGGAACCCGGTGGATCAAAAGAAACAAAGGAGCAGCAGGAGTACCCGGGTGGGTGGTCGACGGAGTGGGACGGCGAGGAGTGCACTTCGTATTTAGATTTCCTCCGGGAACGGGAAGAAGAACAACGCAAGGAACAGGAACAATGGGATGGTCGACTGAATCGACATAAAAAGAAGAAGAAACTCCTCGCCAGACCAATTTTATAAATAAAATAAAATAAAATATATGAAAATTCAAGTTTATTTAATTATCCTCCCGATCCACCGCGTCACCGCGCCGCACCGTCACCGCCCTCTACCGGGGGGGCCTACGACGGTCGGAGCGCGCGACATCTAGGGGCGACGGTCGGAACCGGGGCAAAACAGGACGCTACACAAGCTAGCGACACAAGCGCGCGACATCTAGCAGCGACGGGCGGAACCGGGGCAAAACAGGACGCTACACAAGCTGGGGGGGGCGGAGCGCACTCTGGTAGACAGGGGGGACACTAAGACGCCTTGCGCGGGGGGCCCCCGCTGCGGGGCGGTTAGGAAATTGAGGTTATGTACGGTTTCTGTTGCTTATATCGGCACTATATATCTACTTGTCCATATGTAACCGTATTTAAATTAAAATGAGCTATTTCGTGCTAGGGATTCTCGCGCCAAATAATTCTTTGCAAAGGTCTATGAATTTTGTTTACTGAAACCCACCGATATATTTTCTCGATGTCCGCCGTAAGAGCTATCTTGTGAGTACGCATTCGGACAATAATATCGAATAAATCACTCTGCACCTTCGGACCTAATTTCAATACTTCGTTTAAACTCAAGCCTGTTGAGGTAACGCACGAGGCATCGAAAACTACGCGAGCGCGGGTGGTGCAACTTTGATCCTTAAAAACTACATGATGTGGAATATAATATGATAAGGCGGGTTCATTTATTTCCCTTTCAGTTAAGCGAGTCATGTGACCCATTTTTTCATACTCCCGTAAAAAGGAAATATACTGAGCCTTTGTGTCGGGTGCCCTGGCTAGCCGCTTTTCAAGAAAAGGTAAACGTTTAATCGCCGTCAGCAGTGATTGACCTAATTCGACATAAGAATCTTTCAGCGGTAATTTTACCTCGTATTGTCCATTCGAATTGACTCGCGTATTTTCACGGAAATGGATTTCACAATCGAGTTCCTCGTTAGACAATTTTGAATGTGGATTATCGACGTTTTCGAGTTGCCAAAACTTTTCAATTTGTCGACTTAACTTGTCAATATTAAGAAAACATTTACTATCCGATTTATTGTCAAAGCCGTTACATTGCATTGGACCAGCTAACACCCATCCAAGTTTTGTATTTTGCAATATGGGATTTTTCTTTCCCAGTTTCATTTGACCATAATTTAAAATGTCAAAAAATATAGTTGCGCCGAGTAAAACATCAATGCCTTGAGAAATGTTAAAGCAATCATCAGCTAAATGTAAATGGCTTGGAATACTTAGTCTAGTAACATCGAAAGAATATTGTGGCAATTCAGATGTTATCTGGTCGACAACTAGAAGTGGCAACGATGCCTGGTATTTATTGTCAGTAGAAATTAACTGCGTATCCACTTGAAAACAGATGTTGGAGGGTGATCCGTTTATACCTGAAATTGACAAGTCCACACGTTTCCCTGGTAACTTAAGTCGCTCAAAAAATTCTTTAGTACAAAAGTTAGATTGACTCCCTGAATCTAATAGCGCCCGACAGGAAATAAATTTATTGTCGCTGTCAAGAACTTTAATAACCGCGGTGGCTAATAATACCTGATTTTTATTTGGCAAATAAAAATTGGATGTTAAGGCGACCGTTTTGTCTTCGCTTATATTATCGATTTGTGGTTCGTTGTTTTTGACATTTTCATTTATTTTAATTTCGAGTTTAAAGTCAACATGGTGTTATGGCGTTTATTGCAAATTTGACAGGTTTTTCCCTTGCAATCATCCGCTTTGTGGCCGATTTGCAAGCAGTTTGTGCATATTTGAGCCCTTTTTAATTCGCTTAATCTCTTTTTAATTGACATGGCAAGCAATTTGCGACACCTATATGTGACATGCGTGTCCTGTTTACAAAAAGAGCATCTGAATTTAAATTTGGATTGGTTTGAATGCTTTTCGTTATTAGTTACAACGTGAGAATGCGTTTTGTCCTTGCTAGCAGATTTATTGTCTATTGTTTCTAATAATGGACATTTATTTTTAAGAAAATTCAATAAATCTTCTAGTTTCGGGCTTGTTATCTTGGTAGTGGAAGCTTTCCACTCTTTGCGAGTTTGATTATCTAATTTGTTTATTGTTACGAATATTATTGGAGTGTCCCAATGATTTACAGGTTCATTTAAATTTTGTAGCGCGCGAGTATTTCGCTGAATCGTATCGATTAGCTTACGTGTTGCTACGTGCGACTCCCTAGGCACCGGAGCTAAATCAAAAAGATTTTTCATATGATTGTGAATTAACATTTTTTTGTTTTCAAAACGCTCTTTTAAAAGTTCAATCGCGACGTCATAATTAGTTTCGCTTAGCTCTAATGAGTGTAAGAGTTGCGCTGCCTCACCTTTCAAATATGACTGCAAATAGTAAAATTTTTGAACATTTGATAGATCGATTCTGTTATGTATGACTGACTCATATATTTTGAAAAATGGTATCCAACCCTCGTAAGAACCCGAAAAAAATGGAACATTCATTGTTGGTAAATTTGGAAGTACATTATTAGAATTGCTTACTTGTTGAATTGGACTTTCGGTTTGTCTGCTTGCCATCGCAAGCTTTTCTAGTGACTCTGTCATTGTAGAAGCTTTAGAAACTACCCTGAAATAGTTTTCTTCAAATACATCGCGTTCGTTGACTTGCGAAGCATCTAGTATTTCTAATTCTGATTGAATTTTATCGAACTCTTCCCATGTTTCTTCTATCTTTTTTAGGCGTAATTTTAATTCGGACAAAGATGTTTCTTGTTGCTCAAATTGGGAAATTCGCGACTCGAATTTTGTTAGCCTAGCTTTTAGAATACCCCTTTTATTTATGAGAGATTTCGCGTTTAATGATTCGTTAGCTTCCGTCATTTTTCTCGAAATTTAATACTGCGCACGTACAAATCCGAATGACAAACTAGGAAAAAACTAACTAATAAATTGAAAATATTCGAGAGTGAAATGGAATTTTTGGAAAATGGAATGGACCTACTTGCTCTTTGTCGACACCTGCCGTCTGCTGGTTGCCAACCGCTGTACTCGCTTCAATTCTATTCGACGTAATTTCGCAGGAACCTTTAATGGTTGTCTTCTCCACTCGCTGGGACTAGAAGACTTCTAAACGATATTTCAATCCGGCTCGAAGGACCAAAATGGTGGGTTTTAACGTAGGTCCACGTTATTTGCTGCGCTGATTGTTGTTCGATTGAGTGGACTGTATTTTTCGATAACTTTATTTTTTAACTTTTACAACTTAACAAACTTTTACAACTAACAAACAAAGGAAAAAACATATGAAAATGAATAACGAAGCTTAACGTTTGCTAGCACGGGTTGTAATGTCGAGACCCAGCGTCCCGCGGTCTCTCTTAAGTGTTCGCAGCACCGATCCCTTTTTGCAGGCAACCTTTTTTTTACGGTGCTCGCGATGTTGCCGTTGCTG